GCTGGCTGCCCGTGGTCCCGGATGCTTTGCCGTGGAGCTCGCCCCCTCTCCCAGCTCGCAGAGGTGCTTTCCAAAGAGCCGTGCAGCAGCCGTCCCGGGGCTGGGACCCCCGGCTGCCCCCTCGCTCACAGGGGACCTTCCCACCAGGCCAGGACCGGGGCTGGCCCCGCATCCTCCAGCACCCGCACCTCCGTCCGGGCAGGGAGCGGGGGGCACAGCTACAGGAGGAACCGGCGTCAGCGCCGATGACGCTCATTTTTCCATCTGCTGCCGTCGCTGCCCTCCGGGGCGTCCCTAACAAGGCAGCAAAAACTGCGGTTATTATGCCGGTTGCTAGGCAGCTTTTTAATATTTACCTCCACGCCTGACACGCGTCCGTGTGTTGCTTCGCCCCTTCTGCAGGCCAACTGCCGGGCTGCGGCAAACACAGCCCGAAAACAGCCGGGCACGGCCGGCCGCGGCGCACAGCCCTCGGAAGAGGAGAACAGAGCAAGCCATGTAAAGAGCCGTCCCCCAGAGTCGGGCTGGCCTGGACCAGCTGCCTGCTGGCCACCGAGCGAGGGGCTGCGCCGTGGCGGGTTCCTGCGCTGTCAATCTGCAAGGCTCCGCGTGGTTGCAGACCCCGAGCACTAAAGGGCTGGGAAGGGCAAGGACGCCCTTCCTCCTTGCAGTGGCTCTTTTTGGGCAGCAAGTGGAAAATTGGAGGCCCTGAATAGTGGGGATTTTGGGCAAAACGTGCCGTAAATGAAGCGAGGTACACTGTGCCCACGAGGGAGCTGGAAGATGGTGGTGGTGTGGCACTGTGGTGGCCTTCATGGCGGTGCCACCACTCTCCACCCAGGACAGGGTTTGTTTCCTCAGACCAACCCTGAGTGTTTTGGAGAGGATGGCTTGGCATTCTGCGTAGCCACCCATCAGCAGCCATGCATTCAACTGTTTTGGGCCCCTCGCTACAAGAAAGACGTTGCATTGCTGGAGCGTGTCCGGAGGAGAGCCACAAAGCTGGGGAGGGGTCTGGAGCCCCAGGCTGCTGGGGAGCGGCTGGGGGAGCTGGGGGGGTTCAGCCTGGAGCAGATTACCACAAGCACTGCTTTATGTTCTTTAGACATTGGAAGGGGCTGCCCAGGGAAGGGGTCGAGTCCCCAGCCCTGGGGGGATTTAACAGCCGGGCAGGGGCGGTGCTGAGGGCCAGGGTTTGGGGGTGGGATGGCAGGGGTAGGGGAGCGGTTGGGCTGGGGGAGCTTAGAGGGCTTTGCTAACCTAAACAATTCTATGATTCTATCCCCAGAGCTACTCTTCTTCCTCCATGAGCACTCATAGTTGCTGCTAGTTACTGCCACCCAGCTGACCCGGTAGAGAGAAGCAGGTTTCTTTGGGAGGTTTTCACTCATCTCTGCAGGTTGCAGTGGTGCTGCTGTGCTGGAACTTGGGAAGGAACTTTTCCCTGTATTGTAAGAAAAAGGCTTGGTCGGGGTTTGCAGAGGCGGGGAAGAGAGAAGGGCTCAGATAAATGTGTTTTTATTAAATGGACAGGGACTAGGGTGAGTAATACGAAGGTGTAGAACAGATACCTACTTGTTAGTCACGTAGAAGGAATTCAGGATGATTTCATGGAGAAGAAAGGAAAGGAAAAACTATTAAAGGGCAAATTCAGAAAAATACGGTGTCGCCTACAGATTAACTGATGGTGGTGGTGGAAATACATAAAGAGGTTGTTTAAACGCTTTTGTTCCCTGTCCTGATGTGGGAGTCTCTGTACATTCCTGTGTACGTCTCCACCCACACAAAAGTTCCCATCGGTTATGTAGTCAATCTGTACGTATGTACATATGTAGAAGCAGATATTATTTGCTTACGTTTCTGTAGTGTGACAACTGCAATTATTAGAGTAGCCAAACTTCCCGCTGAGGTGCGCAAGGTACCGTACCCGCTGGCGGGGAGAGCGCACTGTCGTCGCTGTAGCGCGCCTTTTGAATCCTGTGCAACTGTTGTCTTGCTGTTGAGAAATGCTTGCGCTACGAAAAGTTCTGGAAATGAGGAAATTTTCCATGGGGACGTAAGAAGTCACCCCGGGTATGGAATAGTAATACGGCTTCGGAGTTCATTCCGGCAGTGCGTGGTTTGCATACAGCAAGCGGCACGGTAAACATGAAGAAAAAACATAGACAAATGGGTAACTCGTGCTGTTCTCATTTAAATGTAAACTGTGAGCGTGTTGCTGTGATCGAGACGGCAAATACAGCTTTGTGCAGAGGCACATGCAGCAGGTATGGGGAGGTGGTGTTACATCTCTATAAAGTATTGATGAGACAGAACATTAATTTCTGGGCATTGAAGTCTGATACGGTGACAGCAGAATTAAAACGTGCTGTGCTCGGATTAATGTCACTGAAGCTGGGAAAACACACCGTGTCTTTGCAGCTTTTCCGAAAGGGTTGCATGGGGTGTGGAGACACCTCTCTGCGTGCTGCGTACAGGTTAATTATTCCTTTTTATCTCGATGTCTTTGCGTTTGCTGATTTAGTGTTAAATATTTTGTGTGGCAAACTAGTAAAAGCAGAAGCACAATTTTTGGACAAAAAAAAGAAATGTGGAAGAACCCTGCACAGTAAGTGTATAGATACTTCAGTGTGAGAGCAGGATTTGAGTTTGTTTTGATAGTTGATATAAAATTTGCTTTCAGTACATGTCAGAGAAAAAACAATGTTGTGAGAAGATCTGTGGGCATCACGCTGTTGAAATCCTACATATGTGCGTCGTAGAATTGCAGACAAGACAGAGGATCTAAAATGATAACTCTAATTTTCAATAATATTCTTAATTTTTAGCTGGATACCTGATTAATTCGGGTTGCTTATGCCTGCTTAACAGTAGTATGTGTAACAAAGGTGAAATTAATTAATTTGCTTTTTTTTTTTCCCCCCTCAGAAGCAGCCCCCCTCTGTGGATGCATCAAAACCACAAATTATGAAGCCATCTGAGGCAAAGGTACGAATTTCTGAGAAATGCATGCTTGCAGTTAGGCACAAACACATGAAGCAATGGAATTTCTTTTTTTAATACTTTGACACTGAGCGACTCGACTTTGCGTGTTTCTTCTCTGCAGCTTAGTTTCCTCTTCAAAAAATATGTAAAAAACGCTGCACAAAGTACTCGGAGGATTTTGTGACAGCAATACTAATTTTAATTTTAGCTCAGTCACACTTCGTGACATGTATCTAGCTCCCCCCAGTGTAATTGCAGGCTTATTTACCTAATGATAATTTTTCACATATTCAAAGAATTCGGGACAAGTCTCAGCTTTTAGCGTATGTATAATTGCATTTTATCGTTAATCTCGTATCTTTGTCTGTCTGCCAGCTTCCTTGCCTTTGTCCTTTACGCTTGTTCTGTCTTGTCTCGTGGCTAGAACTGCCTGGGTGCCGAAGCTGTGTCATCAATCATGTCCTTCACTTGTTAGAAGAGAGTCATAATCCTCGCTTACGCCTCTGTTGCCTAACAGAATTTACGCACATTATTCAAACAAGTGATTAATGATTCCCTCATTCCTTAGTTTTCCGTACTCGTAGCAGTGAAACCAACGCACCCCTGCACACCACGCGAGGCCCGCGGGGACCTGTGCGGCAGCAAAGCCCGGGGCCGGGCCCCGGCTCGGGGACGGGGCATGATCCCTGGCCAGGAGCTGCTGGGGTGCCGACTCCAGCGGAGCGTTGGTGCCCAGACCCAGCGCTGCTCCGAGGGGGAGGGCTGAGGCACTGACTCCCACGGAGAAAAGGTGACGTGCGGAAACAGCCTCCCCCGTCTGCCAGCCTGCACAGTCGGTATGGTGATTCAGCGCGGGGCAGCACGGGGGCCGTCCCACCAAAGCCGTGCGCACCTCCACGCGGCAGCTTGCCCCGTTCATATGCAGCAAAGTGTTACCTATACATGAAGTTGCCCAATGCCCCTATCCATAGGCAGAACCTGTCCCCGCTTCGTATTAACATTAGTTTCCAGAGGTCATTTCCATAAGTCCCTCCCGACTGCGCGTGCTCAGTGATTTGAGTCGGTGGTCTTCAGGGGTCGTTTGCTTCATCCACTCCTCTTCTTCACCTTGTCCTTTTGGTGACCTCCAGCTTCCACCCCCCTTATTCCCCTGTCAGAACAGCACAGCCGGTACCAACCGGCTCCCCAGCCTTGGCTATCCCCATACCAACGTTGGCTAGCCCCATTCCGACATTGGCCATCCTCAAAGTGCTGGACGCTTTGTTCTCCTACAGGCCTTCCAAGGCCCGTAACAAAGATGGGCCATTTCCTACTCATCTCTCCTCTTCCACACTCCCTACAGTGTTAGTTTCTTATCTGTAGTTTAATTCATATGATTAGTAAGTTAATCTAAAACACAATGCTAGCAATTTAAGATGGATCTCCAGTTGGCTTCACAAAGGTCCTCTTGTTAACCCTTCAGCCTCCCTTCACCACGTCAGCCTGCATCTCTGGGGAGAGCCTGGCTCCGTCTTGAAGTGAGCTGTTACATTCCCCTCGACCGTTTAAAACCCTTTTCCTCCGTGCACACGTGGTGGCAGTGAGCTGGACGACAATTAAGCCACTTCCATTTGTGCATGTTCATCGTTACTTGGAATGAAGGAGTCTGCAAGTCTCCAGCTTCACCTTCTGGCGTCTTTGTGAGCAAACTCACTGGGGTCGCGTTTGTTACTGGTGCTGTTCTCCATGCGGTGTGACCCAGCCAGCTGGCTGGAAGCAGTTACGGTCTCTCACTGCTGGAAATTTGAAATAGCTCTAGAAGAATGTGGTAAATGCGTGATCGGACCTTTAAAACCGGTGTTTGTAAGACAGAAAGAGAGCCGCAGAGGCCTACCCTGCTTCAGTGCTGTGAGACTGGCAGACACAGATCCCCTGGAAACAATGCCCTGCGTTTGCACGTGTAAGGCAATTAATGTTTTCTTTTAGGGTCTGCTGCATCATTAATGCCTTCCTCCTGCTGGACTAAGCAAATCATCCGCATGTTCACAGTAGACTTCTTTGAAAAGAAACAAGGTTGCTGAGTCACTTTTGGTTTTAGTCCTAAATTTCTTACAAATTAACAGCTCTTTCCTAACTGCCGGCCATAGCCACGTCTCATTTCTCTGTCGTAGGGTCTCCCTAGCATGCAGCTTCTCTCGAACGTGCTCTGGACCCCTCTCCAGCTTTCAGTTCTCTGAATCCCTTGTTGCAAATCGACCCTCAGCGTTGTGCCCCTGGGAGAAAGCTGCAAGTTACTGCGGCAGGGGAAGGAATGTGGAACTTCTTGTTGTGCGGCGGAGCCCCGAGGGTTGGGTGGAAAGGTTGGAGAGCAGGCAGCCCGTGGTGGCTTTTGCTGGGGGACCGGAGGAAGCAGGCTGCTGCCACCGCCGCCGCGAAAACGCGTCCTGGTCGGCTTCCCCCTTCTGCTCGTGTTTGTGCCACGGCGCTGGAAACTTGGGAACTAGTTAAAAAATACTATTTTTTTCTTTTCCAGGCTATTTTTCATTTTCCTGAGTCGGTTTAAAACGCGGCCTCTCAGATACTGGCACAGTGCGGGCGGGTGCAGGCAGTGGAGGGGGAGGTGGAACATCTTTTTCTCCTAGGATTTCAGTGTACGCAGTGAACCGATGCTATGGCTTCAGGCTGTGACTGCTCACAACTGACCCCGTTTGAAGGATAGCTGAATATTGCCTTTGAATGTATAGTCTCCTACCAAAATTGTTGGTTTGACTTGCCTCATAATATTTTCTTTTTTTTTAATTGGGCCTGAACTTTGTTATTGCTAAAAGCGTATCTGAATAGGTGTGTCTGTGTGTGAGCGTGTGTGTGTTTGTGATCATCTGTTTTAATGTGGCCTTAGCATCTTCGTGTATCTGTCTTGAATCAAAGCACCGCCCATCTGAGTCCATATATTCTTCATTATTGTCATAGATAAATTTATAGTATGAGTAGTTCTGCACTTTTAAAAAGAATACAAGAATAATGGATAATGCATACCCTACACAAAAAATACATTAAGTATTTAGTAAAGTAATATTTACAGTATGAAAAAAAAGGCATGCAGTTGCTAATAGCCGGTTTGGCAGGCTGAGAATTTTAATTTATGTTCTGTACAGCTGTTGTCAGGCGTTGACAGAAATGCAAATAAACAAATACAAGGATGTACAAGCATATAAAGTATGTCTGAACCTGAGAAGTACTGTGTTCTAATCAGGTCAGACGTCAAGAGAAGATCCAAAGGGGGGAATCTGAGAGGTTAAGTGATTTTTATTATTTTTATTTATAATTTTTTTCTCCACTTTGGAGTCTGGGAAGTTTTTGTCCTCCCTCTCTATCAATATTTTACTTCTTGTGACTTACCTGCCTGTGGTGTTGTGTCCTTTACTCTGCTCTACCGCTTCAAGACCTTTGCCAAGCGTTTGCCTGGTGTCTGTGTTCATAGGCATGTTCAGATTTCCCAGTCAAGTGTCTGTGGTTCGGTGTGTGGTTGTGAATACTTGCATAGCAAATGGTAAACAAATTCAGCAAATTTCTCTATGTGGTCACCCAGAAAACAAGCTGGATATATCTAAATGGTAATTAATGTTTGGCAGCTGAAATGAAAACATTACAAAGCAATGAAAAAATTTAAATTACTGCCTAATAGGTTTTTTGGGGGTTTTTTTGGTTGTTCACTGACTTTTAATGGGCTGCTGGGGGAAAAAGCTCTATTATTTGCCTCCTAGTAACTTCAGCTACGCTCATTGCATTAGAAGGGTGGAGGGGGCAAGGAATGCTGCTGTCTGTGGCCTCGTACTTCCCAAGCAGAGTCAAAGCTTCTCCGCTGCAGGTGGACGTTGTGCAAGGAGGTGTGATACTGGTGTCCCCCGCCGGCTCCAGGGGACGCGTGGGGCTGCCACCCTGGCAGGGGAAGGGGCCCAGGCTTCAGGGTCTGCATCTCCCCTGCCTGCTCTCTGCGTCAGGGCTGTTCTGGCAGACCAAATCACGCTGCCCTGGCGGGGTCTGGGTGCAACCCTGGCCACGTAGCAGCCAGAGCCTCCCAGGCTCATGCAGTTGGCAGCAGCCTTCTCCTCAGCATCTCTGCATGACTTCCCAGCAGCCACATTGGCTCTTCCTGTGTTAATCGTAGCACAGCTGAAGTACCAAGAGCAATCTTGGCCACCCAGATGATCGAAGCCCTGGGAAGCCTCTCTCAGCCACATGGGGATGGGCTGGGAGAGCTGGGTTTGTTCAGCCTGGAGCAAAGGAGGCTCAGGGGGATCTCATCACCATGTAGATGGGAAGATGGAGACTCCCTTGTCACAAGGGGTCCCATGGAGAGGACAAGGGGGCATGGACACAAGTCCCAGTTGGACACAAGAGGGAAATGTTTCCCCATGAGAACAGTCACCCATCGGAATGATCTCCCCAGGGGAGGGGTTGACTCCGCCACGCTGGACACTGTCAAGCCTCAGCTGGACAGGGCACTGGGGCATCTTGTCTGGGCTGGGCTCTTGCCCAGAAAGGTTGGGCCAGGTGATCCTCGAGGTCCCTTCCAACCTGGGATTCTAGGATTCTGTGAAGAAAAAATAGTGAGAAAAATACGGTGAGGAGGCTGGCATTTTCATTTTTCTTTCCTCTCATCAGGTGTAGCTATTCTTTTGTTTTCCAGTGTGTATTCCTACATGTTTCTACTAGTGGTCATTGATTGCTTACTGTGCTTACACTTGAGGTGCATCACAGGAATCGATTTTGTGGCATGGCTGCAGAAAATTTTCAGGTGTAAATCAAACTGTTCATTATATCTGTTCAATATCTTCTTTCCCTCTTTTCAGTCCTTCATATGAGGGGCGCGTGCGTGTGTGTGTGTGTTCGCACACGTTTGAGTGCTCCTAGGTCTCTGGAGGTCTGCGCCAGGACGTTGTAGCTGCAAGGCCAAAGCACTGTGTATGAGTTGCGCAGCATGTGTGCTCACGAGGGGAGGGGGCCCAGGCTTCAGGGTCTGCATCTCCCCTGCCTGCTCTCTGCGTCAGGGCTGTTCTGGCAGACCAAATCACGCTGCCCTGGCGGGGTCTGGGTGCAACCCTGGCCACGTAGCAGCCAGAGCCTCCCAGGCTCATGCAGTTGGCAGCAGCCTTCTCCTCAGCATCTCTGCATGACTTCCCAGCAGCCACATTGGCTCTTCCTGTGTTAATCGTAGCACAGCTGAAGTACCAAGAGCAATCTTGGCCACCCAGATGATCGAAGCCCTGGGAAGCCTCTCTCAGCCACATGGGGATGGGCTGGGAGAGCTGGGTTTGTTCAGCCTGGAGCAAAGGAGGCTCAGGGGGATCTCATCACCATGTAGATGGGAAGATGGAGACTCCCTTGTCACAAGGGGTCCCATGGAGAGGACAAGGGGGCATGGACACAAGTCCCAGTTGGACACAAGAGGGAAATGTTTCCCCATGAGAACAGTCACCCATCGGAATGATCTCCCCAGGGGAGGGGTTGACTCCGCCACGCTGGACACTGTCAAGCCTCAGCTGGACAGGGCACTGGGGCATCTTGTCTGGGCTGGGCTCTTGCCCAGAAAGGTTGGGCCAGGTGATCCTCGAGGTCCCTTCCAACCTGGGATTCTAGGATTCTGTGAAGAAAAAATAGTGAGAAAAATACGGTGAGGAGGCTGGCATTTTCATTTTTCTTTCCTCTCATCAGGTGTAGCTATTCTTTTGTTTTCCAGTGTGTATTCCTACATGTTTCTACTAGTGGTCATTGATTGCTTACTGTGCTTACACTTGAGGTGCATCACAGGAATCGATTTTGTGGCATGGCTGCAGAAAATTTTCAGGTGTAAATCAAACTGTTCATTATATCTGTTCAATATCTTCTTTCCCTCTTTTCAGTCCTTCATATGAGGGGCGCGTGCGTGTGTGTGTGTGTTCGCACACGTTTGAGTGCTCCTAGGTCTCTGGAGGTCTGCGCCAGGACGTTGTAGCTGCAAGGCCAAAGCACTGTGTATGAGTTGCGCAGCATGTGTGCTCACGAGGGTGAACCGGTCTGATATTCTTTATGTAAGCAGACCCCTTAGAAATAACAAAGGATATTAATCTCTCTGAATGTATGTTGCTTATGTTTCAGTCTGCACCAACAGCCAAAACAGAATCTGGAAAAAACGCGCAGTCAACCAAGGTAAATACTTACCTTTCACCTTTGGTGGGTTGTTGTACTTTGGATTTTGACTAACTTTGAAAAAAGAGGCTAAACTCTTGGCTACGACACGTGAGACTGCCGTGTGATGAGTCACGTACCTGTGTGCAGAAGAGCTGGGAGTGGACACGTGCGGTGTTTGGGGGAAGAGTCAGCACGCTTTGCTGCTTCACAGCAGCCGAAGGGGTGTTCTGTTAACCGCCTTTAAATCTGTCTGGCGCTTGTTTGAACCAGTGTAAATCATGATCCATAGCACTGAATGGTGGTAAAGGTAAATGATCTCAATGTTTTATTTTATGACAGCCAACAGACTCCCAAAATAAACAGCCGTCTGAAAAGAAGCAAAAGGAACCCAATGGTGTAAGTTGTATGACTTCTCTCTCTCTTTTTAAAAAAACGAGGGCTTCTAGTGGTATTTGTGTTCTCTCTCTCAATCTGGGGGAAAAAAAAACCCAACTAAAAAACCCAAAGCAAACAAAGCCAGCCATAAATATTTCCCTGTCTAATGATAATGGTTTATCTTTACACAGGCAAAAAGCCAAACCTCACCTTCTGCAACAGCAACTTCTAAACCAAATAATACAGGAAAAGTAACTGCAGCTCAAGGTGACCAGCCTCCACAGGCGACCTCCATAGAGACAGCAAAGGTATAGTAGAATCCAATTGTTATTATTTATCTTATTGTAGGGGTCAGAAATCCATGTCAAGATGGATTCTCATGCTGACTGTTGTAAAGTGAGACTGGGCCCCCAAAAATTTCAATGTAGAAAAGCTCAAAAGCTGTCTTGTGTTTAAAGGTGTGTATGACAGGCCTCCTTGTGCTGCTTTAAAATCTGGGATTTAGCAACTTCACATTTTACCCGCTGATTAACTTAAACAACGTCCTAAATATACCACTTCCAGCTAGCCCATGACAGCATTAATGGGTAAGCATCAGCTGCAGGTAGAGCTGCCCAGCCCGATGGCATTGGTTGGTTGTGCTGGTGGCTTGGCGATCCTGATGTGCATCCACCTTTCCTTGTCCTCGTCATACATCTGTTTCCAGTGTCCGAGGCAGCCTGGCTGTTAGCCAGGCGAGCGACATTGAGATTAGCAGAATTGTCGGCCTGTTCCCGGGTGTTACGTGTTCGGGGCTCCTCTGTCATTCACGCAAGCTTTTTGCAAGTTCCTTGCACCTGCGTGGGTGTAACTGGTTCTTTCTCAGTCTCTTCCCTTGCCCGTTCACTGCTGAAGGTGGACAGAAGGGACCGTCTCATCTGTCGAAGTGTAGATGAAAGGGACAACAGATCTGCATGTGTCGTGGTTTAACCCCGGCCGGCAGCTCAGCCCCCGCAGCCACTCGCTCGCTGCCCCCCATTGGGATGGGGGAGAGAATCGGAAGGGTAAAAGTGGGAAAGCTCCTGGGCTGAGATAAAGGCAGGTTAACAGGAGAAGCAAAAGCCGTGCGTGCAAGCAGAGCAACCCAAGGGATTCCTTCCCTGCTTCCCATGGCAGGGGGTGCTCAGCCCCCCCAGGACAGCCGGGCTCCATCCCCCGTAACGGTGACTGGGGCAGGCAAAGGCCATCGCTCCCAACGCCCCCCCTTCCTTCTTCCCCCGGTTTCTATACTGCACGTGACGCCATACGGTGTGGGTACCCCTGGGGTCGGTTGGGGTCAGCAGGAACGAACCCATGGCGGGGTGCTCAGCGCTGTTCCCAGCACACCCCCAAACACAGCCCCGCGCCCGCTGCTGCCACGCACGCCCGCGCTGCCCCGGCCACACCAGCACATCACGCCTGAGCGGAACACCTCTGTTTTACTTTGTTTTGTCTCTAGAACTTTTAACAAAGAGCTGTATAATAAAGCCATCTCTTAATTTTTCTCTCACTTCTGCAGCCTGAGTCTGAGAAGATGGCCGCAGCGGGTGCAGGCGCGGCGGGTGCAAGTGTGGTTGCTGCAGCTGATAAGTCCAGTACCGAGGTTGGTAAACACAGTCCCAGGCAAATGCTTCCCTTGTAAAAACGTCTCTGAGAGTGTTTCTCTCTCGGAAATGCTTCAGTTTCAGAAAAAACAAATGGGTAACTGTATTGGGATGTAGTAGTTAACGTATGGTGGTGAAGGACTGTCTGAAAGAATGGGTAATACACTAGTGCTGTGTCAGTTGTGTTTTCTCGAATAGGACTTAACTTAAAATCACTTTTACCACGAGTAGCATAGAACTGAGTACTCTTTGTCTTCGGTTACGTTTGTATACATACACATGTATGTCAGCTGGTATATAAATGCAAACGATCTTGTAACTGACCGTGGGGAACCAGTTTAAGAACAGTTCTCACTGAAAAATTAAGCAAGTGCAGGACCTACTGAAAGAAAGCTTTTGGTTTGGTTTCCAGGAGTTTTCTACAGATTAACCAGATGACTCAGATTTATTTTTTTTTCCTGCGTACATGGTGATAACTTCTGTAATGATCTGCTTATTTTTTAGCCTGGTATGGATGAGTCGGCACTAGATAGCCTCATAGATACCCTAGGTGGTCCTGAAGATGATGTGCCTACTAGTCCTGTTTACACTGGTCCAGAGGTTACGGTAATTTACGTTTACTATTTTTATTTTTTAGAACATTCATCTCTAAAATGTGTCTGTAGTTGCTCACTACTGCATTGATCCAGTATTTGTCGCTTTGATCTGCTAAGAGGTAAAACAGAGTTTGCACAGTTGCATTTTAGTGGTGTTTTCAGCAGTACAGAAATTCGACACAGGTATGAGGGCCACAAAAATGCTCCGAGGGCTGGAGCCCCTCTGCTATGAGGACAGGCTGAGGGAGTTGGGGTTGTTCAGCCTGGAGAGGAGAAGGCTGCGGGCAGAGCTGAGTGCGGCCTTTCAGTACCTAAAGGGGGCCTATAGGAAAGAGGGGGAAAATCTCTTTAGCAGGGCCAGCTGGGACAGGACAAGGGGGGATGGCTTTAAACTGAAGCAGGGCAGGTTTAGACTGGATCTAAGGAAGAAATTCTTTCCAGTGAGGGTGGTGAAACCCTGGCAGGGGTTGCCCTGAGAGGGGGTGGAGGCCCCATCCCTGGGAACATTCCAGGCCAGGTTGGATGGGGCTGTGAGCAACCTGATGTGGTTCAAGGTGTCCCTGCTCCTGCAGGGGGCTTGGGCTGGGTGACCTCTGGGGGTCCCTTCCAACCCAAAACATTCTGTGATTCTATGATTCTATCTAAGTATCGCAGTAGAAAACAGCAAAATGTCAACAAAGCAAGTTTGTTGCTTTTTGAAGTGAATTACAGGCATGGGCTCCAGTGGATTTGCAAAAGGCAGTGATGGAGGTGTAAGAGAGCGTAAACGAGCCTGGAGATTTCATTTCTACTTGAGAAAGAGTAAAACATTGAGAATTTGGGGAAGAATGCATGCCTTTTCTGAGCTAGAATGGGAGAGTAACATACAAGGATTAAGATTATGAGCTCAGTGGCTCAGTGCAGTACTCAGCCATGATGAAAATTCTGGAACTTAGAAATCTAAATTAAAATTCTATGGTCTGAGACACTGAAGTGGCATGTGTCAGTGCAAAAGGACCCTGGCAGTGGCAATGCAGAGTTTTGCTGGATGACGCGCACTGTCGAAGCTAGTCGAGATGCATATGCGTGACTCGAGATTCTGAAAGACACCACACAGTCACGGTCCAGGACGGGCCCTCTGACCCAGCCAGCCCTCGCGTTTTTCTTCCAGAAGTATCACTGCAGATAGCTTTACGTTAGAAATTTATTTCAACAAACAAGAGTACAAAACCACTAATGTGTGTGTCCTTTTCGTAGGAAGCCATATCTTCAAGGTACTTGGAAGAAATGGGTAAACGGGAAGGTAGTCTCCCTCCAGAGTATGTTAAATTGCTGAAGGTCAGTGAGTTTAAAATATTCTTGATGTGTGTTTTCTTTCATATTGTATGTTTTTGTTTTGCATTTACTACAAAATTGACTCTTGTTTTAGGGCAAAGGGGATGGCAAAGATGGAGTCCCACCAAAAATAGATGAAAGAGATGAAGTAAGACTTTTTTTGGTTTTCTTTTTTATTGGAAGGTGAAAATAACCCAGTTATCACTAGATTCCTAGGAAAATTTAAGTGTTGCCTGTCTTCCAAAAATCCCAGGAAGTGGGAGAGGGCTGTGGGGTGCCAGATAACATGGATAAAACTAAGCAGAATTTGGCACAGATTTTTTGAATAAAGAAGTAGGGATTTTCAGGACACTGACTGAAGCTGAAACAAGTCCAATGCTCATAGAGATACTGGGCATAATAATAACCAAGGGAAGAAGTACTAGCTGTGCATGCAGGAATCTCTTTGTAATGTCTTTAGCAAGGATTACTTGAATTCCTATACTTAGCAAGAGAATTCTGTAAGACAGCTTAATTTTGTTTGTAAGTTTAACAAATAAAAGCTTATCTAAAAAAATTAACCAACCAGTGAGGGGAAGTATCTTTGTTTCTTCTGTGGCAGCAACATGTTCTTATGAGGTCACTGTGTGAGTAAGCATGGAGCACACTCAGAGTTTAAACTGTTCGACAGCATTGATATTTGAACTTTAATAATCATAACCTAGTTTGCAATTTCTTGCTCAGAAACCAATGACAGAGGATGAGCTTGCAGAGGCCCTGTCATCTGACTTCACCTGTAGTACTGCTTCTGCTGAAGAAAAGAAGACTCTGACAGAGGTATTGATATTTCTCTTGCCATTGCGTGCCTTTATTGCAATGAAACATTGCCATTATTATGTTAAATATTTTGCTTTAAAATGATATTGACATTTTCCCCTTCTTTTTATTTTTGCATATTTGCCTGTAATTCCATATCTCTCATTTTGTGTTTACATAGAAGAAACCAAGCAAGGAAGAGGAAGTCGTGCAAGCACAAGCAGCTAGTTCGGTCAAGACCTCAGTTCCTCCTACGGAGAAGAAAAAGTCGAAAGAGGTATACGCAGTCACTCTTCGGCTGGTTAACTTCTCATTAACATTTCCAGGCACTTGTCATATTCTGTGTGCCTGATTCTGTAAAGATGCTCATCATCCTTCAGTTGTAAATCCTGTTTATCACAGAAAGTGTAGGGGTAATAGGAATCGCCATTGCTCAGCCTCTTAGCTGTACCCTAAAATCCAGCCTTACTGGGTCAGGTGATCGTGGCTTCTGGATAATTCTGCAGAATAACTGTAGTTCTTCTGACTAGAGGCAACAGCCTAGAAAAATGGTTGTGTTTCGTCAGCTATGTGAGGTGTGTTTAAAACTTGGATGCGATGTAGTTTTCTCATGTTTTGCAAACCTTTCTTTTTTCCTCTGTAGAGAGCAAGAGTGACCTTACGCTTTCTGGGTTTGCCATTTCAAAGCATACGGCGATTGTGTTACATGATACTGTGCTGCCTTTTTTTTGCTTCTGTTTTTTTTGCTTTTTTTCCCCCTCCTTAAGAGGAGGTAGGCCTTGATTAGACTGTGCTAATCTTACCACCTAATTTGCTATATCCTGTAATGTGATGTTAAGGAAATCAGGTAAAGCCAAACAGAAATGACCATCTGGTGCTAGCTGTTTACTTCATATACAGCATAAAAGATGTGCAAGGTAAAACCTGTGTCAATTTAAAGACATAATAAAATTACTTGCGTATTTTCTTAATACAGGAAATTAAAGATGATGCAGTGGAAGCTCTTCTTGATACTCTCGGTGGACCTGAACCCGAACCTGAAGATCTCAGCCCGGTTGTAGAGGTGTCAGAGGTACAGTCTTACTGCTTTTTACAGCAGCTTTCAGACTCTCCCGTGGAATCCCGAGTCCTCCTTGTTAGGTGCTGTACAAATGTGTAAAATAGTTACAAAGCGACTTCCATTTCAAAAGCCTACAGAATGTCTGGGTGTTATGTGATTAAGAAAATTAAGAGAAGAAGAAATCCCAAGTGGATACAGCTAGAATAGAATATACCAAGGTGGTCTAGGAAACTAACTGTTTCAATTGGCTACACAAGCATACATACACCTTGCCCTGTGTTAGCTACAGTTGCTCTCTTTTTCTCCCCAAGCACTGGGTACAGCGTAGAGCAAGCCTTTGTTTTGCATGTATTTGCTGTTTGATTTTTAATTAACTCGTGGGGGTTTTGGTGCACATGATCCTTTTTCTATTGGACCTCATTGGACCCCATTTTTTTCCTAATTTGGGTCTTGCCTTTCACTGTGCCTTGTAAGACTTCAGTTTTTCTTCAAGTTAGATTTTAACAGTGAGCCCTATGTTAACTTTTGCCTTTTTAGTTTAATTTTGCAAACTCTGCCTATAACCGTACTAGTACCAGTTATTTTCCCCCGTCTTCACTTACAGCCCAGAGCAAACAAATGACAGAGAAATAGTAGAAAATCATTTGTTGCTGAGAGAAGATGCCGGAGCTCAATTCTGACAAAGAAAGAGCATGTTGTATTGCAGATTCAGTCAGTCTGGGCCTTCAAATAACTCGGTGGATGCATTGCTTTGTGAAGGAGGTCCAGAGAATTAAAAGCTGTGTTTCTGCAGGAGTGATGGAAAAAGATACAGAATGACACCTTGTATAATCAGAGTGATAAAATCCAAGGAAACCTGAGGATTTTGTACGCCCCAAAAGTTCTAAAAGTCCCTGCCACAAGGTTACAGCTCTGAATAGTGTCTGAAGTTTTTTGGAATTTAAAATAATACAGCTGTATTCGCATATGACATCGATTCTTAAGCCGTGATGATTTTACCACAGAAGTTTGATAGGACTAAATTGAGGATTTTAAGTATCTTGGTATATGGAATAATTTTATCTGATGCTAGTACTTCTTCAAACAGTAGGCTGAAGTTGAGTGTACTTTAAGGTTTCTTCCTAATTTCTCTAAGTGATTTATTTTGTTCTTTTTAAGGCAAAAGCTAAAGAGAAAAAAGAAGAAAAAGCTGGAGAACGTGATGATACGATACCTCCAGAGTACAGGCTAACACCGGAGCTGGTAAGCTTTTTCCATCTCCATTGCTTTGTAAATAGGGCACCTGATGCTTTCTGTGGTCACAGTGAGGGAAAGAATGTGTGGAAAACAAGCAATACTAGTGTTTAATCAGTGGCTTTCTCCTGTTGGTCACTGCTGTATCTCTCGTTTCCTTCCCTTCCTTTGTGGGCGTGACTGGGATTTTTGGGCAATCTGAGCAAAGATCTGATCCTCCCAGGTCACACATTCCTTCTCCAGGAGGGGTGTTCCTTGTTTCCAGTGTGGGACATCAGCCTTGTAAAATCCACCCCTTCACAGAGTATTGCTTTGTAATGTAACCTTGAAGCACAGTTGTAAACCAGTATGGAAATTACACTCATTTTTTCGGACTGTCACTTCAGGTGATGGAGATTTGTTCAAGGTTAAGCAAAACACCAGTAGAACTGAGGTGTGTTTTCTATTAAGTTCAGAACTGGAAGTTTTTGCAAGTTATTAGTAGTGCTGATGTTAACGAGGTTGCTATATGTATGGCTGGCCTTGCTGGAGCTGAATGTTTACATTCTGTTTTGAAAGGAGCAGTTTTACCCCTCCTTTAGAGATTTCAAGACTGCCTGACTACAGACCTGGGATTTAACCCCTTAATTGTTCGAGTGCCAGAGTTTGTTTTTTGCACTCAAAGCTTGTTTTGCTGCTTAATTCCCGCTGCATATTGATACTGGTAGGAATGAACACTTTTTGGTCTTTTGGCCCATTTGTATTGTGCTGACATCACATTTGCTTTTTTTTATCCACTTACCTGGCCATGTACGAATTCCCCGTGTTTAGGGGAATTCCTGTTACCGTGTCACTGATTTCATCTTGTGTCTATCATTTATTTTGTATTGTTTTGCTGGTGATTACGGAGTACGGCCCTTCAGATAACAATGGAAAAATGTCAGTAACATTTACTTTTACTTTTAGGATAAAGATGGAAAACCAATATTGCCAAAGCCTGAAGAAAAACCTAAGGTTAGTAAACTGACACTGTTGTAGAAGTGTGACTACAGACCCTGTTTTCTCCCTCCCTGTCATCGCTTCTCTCTCTGCCATCAAGTAAGTCTCTCGGTCTGCTTGTGTGTTTACTTCCTTGCACGAAACCTGCTGATCTGAAGTGTCAAGTGAAGGTTGATTTTATTGAAATTCACTGTCTGTGAATGAAGAGCTCGTGGTAAGAAAAAGGTTTAGAGATTACACAGATAGGGGAGAGTTACCGAAATAACTGCTGACACAAAGAAAAGCTGTGTGGGGAGTTACTGTAAGGTATGCTCTGGAAGTCTGCTGGACCTGTTGAAGGACAGAGAGAGGCAAGGAAGGAAAATGTTTTGTTTTCCTGACAGTTTCCTCTCATCAGTCGTCAGATACAAGGGAACACAACTGGAAAGAAGGAAAAAGCTGCCGTGGACTTTCTCCTAATCGCAAAGAAAAACTTGGACTTTGAAGAGAGTGTCTGTCATGGCCTAGAAAGTACAAGATAGGTTGAAAAGATTGAAAGAGAAAGTTACAAAGGCTAATTGAAAATGCACAGGAAGAAAGCAAAAATTAGGAAAAGTAAAGGACCTGTGCACTGCGGAAACCAAGGGCTTCACTTTGGAAATACTGTGAGTTGAGGAGTGCTGCCAAAATTGGGAAAGTACAGGTAACCCCCGTTCTTCTGAAACGAGTGTGAAGGTCAGGACCAATCTGAGCGAGAATGACTCTCTGCCTTTTTAGCAGAAAAGTGAAGTCATTTGTATTATTCAAGCCTGAAATATGGAAGAATGCAAAGGCAGTGATGAAAAGACTTTATGTCTCTATAAATTTTCGTGTCAGTCTTAGACATGCAGTTGTCCTGAGTGGGTAATGTGTGAGTGCTGCAGAGAAGGCATGCCTGCCGAGCATGTCATAAGGAACAAAGGAGCTGTGCTCTGAGGGAGCCAGGCACGAACGTTGGGAGACAAGCCTTCCTGCTTCACAGGGAGCACAAAAGAGATGGCAAGTTCCAGCGGAAGAATGTGGCGTGAGTTAAGGGGGGTTGGTTCATAGTTCGACTAAAGTCTAGTACAAGACCAAAGACGACAGAATCGTGAGGTCTTATGCCAGAAGAATTAAGTGGTTAGTAGCAGAATAAGTGTTCCTATGCTTTTCCACCCCTATCAGTCTCAGACAGAAATATAGTTGAGTAGTTGTTCTGTCAGCGAATCCCAGGGGTACTGAAGTAATGTTGTAATATTTTTCTCAGCAGTACCCCACTATTTATAATTTGAAGAAGGCAATTTTGATCAAGATGTGTTTGCCAATATTCGTGCGGTATCATTGGTAACTTAGATCTGTGAAGCCAAAACCAGCAAAACAAAAAAGCTAGAAATAGCTTTTAGAATATTTTTTAG